CCATGTAGACATCAAACTCATCCAGGCATCTGAAAGGTGATTCGGCAATGGACCACAGGGAAAGAATGAAGCACACTGTGGAGAAAGACCGTTCACCGCCGGACAAAGCACGCATGTCATTGAAGGAAGCTTTATTTCCCTCTCCAGGCTGAACCTTTAAGGGTGATCACAAGGAAAAGGTTTATAGTTTAAAAAAAAAGAAAGAGAGAGAAGTAAAGCTAAGGTCATTTAGAAGTTGAAAGAATCTACTCCATTCAAAATATTTTATACTGTAACAGCAAGCTATCCAATTTTTGTTTCACTTTAAAAGAATTAAATTGAGGGGCTGAAGAGATGTCAAGACGCTCTTACAGAGGACCCAGATTTATGTCCCAGCACCCACAATGCGGCTCATGCCCATGTATGAGTCCAGTTTGAGGGATCTGATACCTTCTTCTGGCCTCCTCAGGCACCTGGCATGCACTGGGTGCACAGACATACAAGCATACCAAAAGTCCATATACAGAAAATAAATAAGTTGAAAAAAAAAAAAACAAAAAAAAACAAAGTGAGCACTTTTTGTCACTTTAACGAAACTTAACATACCAAAATTCCAAAGCTATGACAACAAATCCAATATTTAACCAAACATTATTTATTAAAATAAGCAATTTAAACTAGTTCTTCTAAAACTGTTACCACATTAAACATTTAAAACACTGAGATAATTTTTCATTACTAGAATTATAGTGACATCTAGTGGCTACACAGTTTTAATAATTAAAATCATCAAAACAGACCCACTCGAAGAGGTTTACGCAAGAAAATGGTGGGAATGGATTGAAAGACATTTAAAACAATACTTTTTAAAATTCTCTATGGTAACAACAACAATAACAAAAAAATCAATAAATAATATTTACAGCATTCCTTTTGCATAATTTCCTGAGAAAATACAAAGTAGTATAAAGAAGCAGTCTATTTTATTTTGGCAAAACTGCAGACTTACTATATATATAAGTGAAAAGGTCAGTTTTACGTAAGTGTCAGACATATGCTGCTCTCAAATGACCATACATTCATTTTTTTTACTTTCTAAAAGGCTTAAAAGTCTGAAAATTTAAATGTATATTGTGCATCATTTTTGGAAGACACAATGCCCCTAGGAGACATAAGCATTCATTTCCCTTGAATTCACATCCAAAAGTAGGTGGGTTTTCAAATTAAGGCCCCCTTCCTCCCAATGGCAATGCAGTAGCTCTGATTCCGTTTCCTTACCAACCGAGTTTGCAGTCTTGCTCATTTCAGTCCTTCTCATTAGGGGAGGACAGTGGCTAGTGAGGCATACATCTGTATTTCTCTGATGCCTAACAATCCTGAGCACTGTCCATGTGCTTATCCTCCATTTGGGTAACTCCCATTTACTCATTTAAGTCTTTGGTGACTTTAAAATGGGCTCAAGTCTTTTTTTCTTTTATTATTCTTTTATTAGGTACCAAAAAATATCTTTCCCCAGGCAATAGCCTCCTTTATTGCTGGGGCTTTTTAAAATGGCCTTCTGTGTCCTGTTTTTCAAATCTTCATGAAAGTACTTTATTTTTTGTTTACAAGAAAGGGTGGCACATGTTAGTGGAGCATATGTGCTTACTTCCACACATATGAAGTATACACTGGTCAAGTCAGAATAATTAGCATTTCTATTCCCTTGTGATTGGAGCCTTTGAGCATCTCTCTTCTTTGGTTTCTGAAATGGTTTCTCTATGTAGCCTTGGCTGTCCTGGAACTTGCTCTGTAGACCAGGCTGGCCTTGACCTCAGAGATCTAGCTGCCTCTGCCTCCTGAGTGCTGGGTTTAAAGGCGTGTGACACACCACCCGGCCAGCATTCTAGTTTTCCTTATATATCTAATGTTCCTGTGAACTGCAGTGGATGTGCTGCTGGGGAGCACCACCAGGACTTACTCCCACCGAACCCCCCCCCCAACTTGCACTAATCATTATTCTGTGTTCAGAGTAACTCCTCAACTTCCCATGAGAATATGTGCGTTTTGTACTCTGTGCCTGGCTTATTTCATTTCAGATCACATCCTCTAATTTTATCCACTTTGATGCAAACCACAGGATTTCATTCTTCTTAAAGGTTGAGTATCATTCCATTATGTATATCTACCATATTTTCTTTATCTGTTCATCCACTGATAGGTACCCTAAATTGATTCCCTCATCCAAAAGTTTTATTGTTCTACATTTTACATTTATCAATTTTTATACTAAATGTGAGATAAATGGCCAAAGTCTATTTTGTTTTGTTTTACCAAAGGGCACCCAATAATTTGAATCCAGTGTAATTCATGAAGCGATAACCCTTTACTCATAGGCTTATAGTAGTGTCTCTGTCTAGATGAGCGAGCCATGTGTTCAGTGTGCTTTGCACTCTCCACTGTTTGGAAACTTGCTTTCTCCTCTTCTGCTCTCACAGTTTTATGAGATCTCTGTGTCTGAATTCCTAATTGTCTTCTAGCTTCCTGAGATAGACCACTAATGTTGGATCTATCTTTCCTCCTTAAATACATATAGAGTGCTAAAAGTTCCTTTCTGAAAAGTGTTATACTGTCTCCTTCATGTTTTGCTGTTTTACTTTTTGATTGTTGCTGGAAATTATCTTCTAGTTTCCATGTAATTTATTATGAATCCTTAATCCTTTAGAAATTTGCTATGTAATTTTATAAATTAGGGAATTTTTAGGTATTTAATTTCATTTAATTTTGAAATATATTCTGTGTAACTTTAATAATTTGAAACTTAATGAGATTTTTAACTGAGGACAAGAAAATGGTTTATGCTGGTAAATGTTCCATAGACAATTCACAGAAATTATAATCCACCACAGGGTTCTACATTTATGCTACTGGGTCAATTTGGTAAATACAGTAAGGCTTGTATAACTTTACTGACTTTTAATCTGACTTTTTCATTAATTACTGCGAGTTCAAAAATTTCTACCTATATTTAACTCTTATTTTGCCTTTTAGTTCTCTCAATTTTTCTGAATATACAAATTCAAATATTTTTAAAGTTAACTTTCTAGTACTATGAAGCACTCCTTTTGGCCTTGAGCCTGTGTAAACCTAATTTTGTTGTTAGCAGCCGTGTGTAAGCTTTCTTGTCTATCTGCATGACATACCTTTGCTCCATGATTTCACTGAGGATCCTCCTTGTCCTTATGTTAGTATTTAAAAGTCTCCCTCTACCAGAACTGACTCACAATCTATACATACAAGGCAATCTTTACTTTTAACACACCTTCTTGGTCCACAAAGGCTAATGTAATTACTGGTAACTAAGTTTTATCTCTCACTAATTTGTGCGCCCCCCCCCCCCCCATGTTCTTTGTTGTCCTCTCTCTGGATTATTTTGGGTCTCACTCTGTAGCCTGGAATGGCCTCTAATTGTGTTAATCCTCCTGCCAACGCATTCCAAGGGTGATTAGACACACCTGGCTTCTCACTAAGTAGTTGCTTTTTCTAGTGTTTTACTTGGGCTTTAGTGTGCATTCACTTGACATTCTTTGCAGTGATTGTTCTAGCGATCTCAGTATAGCCCTGATGTCTTCTTGGTTTATCAGAATTAAGAGCACTTCCCGAAATGTGAGAGAACAGGTTAAGTTCGATGCTCTTGACTCTTTAAGTATTTTGGCCCTGAACATTATTCTGTCCTTTGCTCCTTCTGTTCTTAGTGGAACTCCAATTCTGTCCTCACTAAAACCAGCTAATTGTATCCTTCCTGTCTCTTCAGCTCTGTTCAGGGTTTTCTGTCTTGTTTTTATGTTACTCACACAAGATATTTCTTTCTGACTTAACATGAACTCAATTAAATTTATCTTTAGCTACATTCAGCTGGCTATTAAGCTAAGCCAATCAATGATTTCTTCATATAAAGTACTAACTACATTTTCAAAGTCTTAGAGTCATGTTTTGTGTGGATTACAAATCTGTACCAAAACTGTACTTTGCTATAACTAACTTTTATTTCATGACATATATCACTTGTGGTAAGACACTAGTCTACTATCTCTTGTAGCTATCATCATGAGTTTGGTTCTATTCTTGCTTTTCCTTTTAATATCAGTCACATTTCCAAGCCTTATTTCTCTGGTAGTTTTTACTGCTTTTTGAGGTAAAAAGAAAAACAAAAACCAAAAACCAACAGGGCCAGCAGGGTGGTTTATCAGGTTAGGGTGCTTGGGGCCACACTTGAGCATCTGAGTTTTAGTCTTAGGAACTCGTACAGTAGAAGGAGAATAAACACCTTCAAGTTGTCCTTGGGCCTCCATACTGACACTGTAGCATGAAATCTCAAATAAATGTAACAAAACCTTTTTACTTTTAATAAGATCCAGCAAATTGTACGTATTTAAAATGCGCAATTTAATTAAGCTTTAGCAAATACGATCATGTATGAAACTGAAATTCAGAATAAAGAACATATTCATCATTCTGTAAGTCCCTCATGCTCCTTGTAATCTCCACTTGGTTTCCATGTTATCTGGATGGTTCTGTATCTCAATCAGTGGGTTGCAACTCCTAGGGAGGCCTCAAATGACCCTTTCACAGGGGTCGTGTAAGACCACTGGAAAACAGAGATTTACATTACTATTCACAACAGTAGCAAAATTAGAGTTATGAAGTAGCAATGAAAAGAATTTTATGGTTGGGGGTCACCACAACATGAGGTATTAAAGGGTCACAGCATCAGGAAGGTTGAGAGCCACTGATGTAACAGAACCTTACTGCCTATTACTTTAGCCTTCAGTTAATGGAAATTTTCAAATATTATTCTTTCTTTTCAAAGTTACAACTATTTTAGATCTTTTCAATTTCCATATACATTTTAGAATCAGCTTATTAATTTCTACAAAAAAGCCTGTGGCTATTTTGATACAAATGGTGTGTTGAGTGTATAGGTCAATTTAGGAACTAAAATTTTGATATGCTGAATTGTATGTATGTGTTGTACATATACATGCTTATATATGCACAAGTATATGCAGTATGTGTGTGCATATGTGTTTTCCTCAATCACTGTCACCTTTATTTTTTGGGAGACAGGCTCTCTTACTGAACTTGAAGCTCACTGATTCAGCTAGACTAGTTGGCCAGGAGCCCTATGAATTGGCTTGTCTCCACCTATCGAGCTCTGGGATTAGTGTGTGGAGTTTTATGCAATGTTGGAGATCCAAACTTAAGTTTGCATAATAAACACTTTACTGAATGGGACATCTTCCCAGACCCTGCTTAAGCTCTTGAGCCTTGACAACAATAGATTTCTCATTTAGTTCTTCATTAATTTCTCACTACTTCTTTTAGCTTTTCAGAGTATAGGTCTTAGGCACTTTGTGTCAGATTTCTAAGTATTTTATATCTTAATGCTATTATAAATGGTATTTTAAATTTTCAGGTTTTGATCATGTTGCTAATACATAAAAATACAATTCATTTTTTAATGTGGTTATGTAACTCTGCTAGTTGCATTTAACTTCTTAGGTGTTTTGTAGATTTCATCAGATTTTCTGCACAGATGACCCTGTTAATTATAAATATAAGGAATTTGACTTCCTTTATCATCCCTATCTTTTATTCCTTGATTTGTGGCTAGAGTCACTGGTATACTGATGAGTAAATAGTGAGCATGGACAACCTGCTTGGCTCCTAACTGTAGGGTAGAGACCCAAATCTTTTTACGTTATGTTTGATGCTTTGTGTAAGAACAGATATTCTAGTCAACACAACAGCCCACCAAGGTGGAGCAAGTTTCCATTTGACTAGGACGTATATATGCTAAGTGACAGTTCAGTTCATCTGGGAGAAAGCTGGCCTGGAATGGATTTGCAGTCTTAGAAATTGGTGCCTTTAGATAGCCATGCACAACTCCAGCCCTCAAGAATGAACTGAAGTACTAGTCATGTGCCTAGTATTTCACAAGCCCTGCTGTCCTGTCAGTAGCCCTCATAACCACCAAAATTCTGAGATCAGCAAATGCCTCCAGGAAAGAAAATATCCAGCAATGTTAGCTTACTTTGGACAGGCTCTCCCACTTCTTGGAATTTCAATTCATCTAGTCGCTGTTGCTTCCACAGCTTTCCAATGTCTTTAAAAATAGAATTTTTGTAATTTCCTTGGATTTCTTGTACTTTTGCAGTAAAAACAATGGGTTATCATGACATACTACCCTCCCGACCACAGGCCTAATTCATCCCAGTACTTTTAAATCTGTATCTGTAAATAACTGGATCTCAAAAATAAATGGTGGGTAAAGATGGTGAACATAATTTACCAGTGGAAATTTAAACAAAAAAACAAACAAACAAACAAACAAAAAAAAGGCAAAACTAACTTCCTAATTCGGTTAAAATGCAGGGGTTCTAAATGATGAGGGCATCCAAAATATCAAATATTTTTCTGTGAATATTAGGATAGAAGGATAAAATTATGATAAGAGCAGCAGTTACTATTTAAAGTGGGTAGTTGTTTTTTATCTTCCTATATAGCTGTTAATCCATATTCCCACACCACACGATTTGTGCACATTTCCACAACCATAGAATCTACAAAGGTGAATACAGCAGACACTTCTTGGTTTCCCACAGTGAGACTACCGACAATGGATTTTCTATAATGTCCTACATGGTGCTGTGCAAAAACTTAAAACATGAGTGGACAAACAAGATGAACAGTTGTTAAGACTGAAAATAAAACTGTACTTAGCATCCTAAGAAAACAATGTGACTGGAGAAAAAAAAAAAAAACCCTAAGCTACTAACTTTATATTAAAATCAACTTAATGTTAAACACACTAGCAAAGATGACCTTTCACTTAGAAGGAAGTTCCTGTTTTCTAAAGGTAACAGGACAGGTTGATCAACAGTCCATCAAAAGAAAAGAAACAACTACGACAAAGATGCCGTCAAGATACTCACTGAAATACTCAGAGTTTCATTCTTGTGGTCGAAATTCATTTTTCCACAGTAAGCCCGCTGAGATAGTAAGTTGTCAAAGTATAATTTGCATCGCAATGTCAAACACCTTTAAATAAAATAAGTTGGCACGTTGTACTATAGAACTGCATGTTCAACACGGTTTAAGCACAGACAACTATACCAATGCTTAGACAGCAGCTTGGACACCTCTATTAACAGGTGGATTTAAGAGGATTTTCCCCATGTTTCTAATATTTATTTGTATCCTGGATTTTAAGTTCATTACTTTTATAATACCAATATTTATAAAATGCATAAAGGTATCACTCCACATTTAATATACTCCATTATGACAGCCAGTCCATATGAATGTATTAGTTACCCAAATAATTTATTCAAGGCATTATTACTCTCAGGCATAAGACAAATCTCGTCCTTAAAAAAATTAAGCTTTAGAGACACCAAGGTAAATATTCATCTCATTTATCTGCCTGTTTGCCCAACTTCCTAATGGAAAAAAGGTAAGGGTAATAATGCTTTGTCCCTTGCTGGTACAATGCAAGGGCAATCACTTCTTCTCTACTGTCAGATGACAGTGGACTATACTGTAAGCAAACTTCTGCTGCCTTAATCCCCTTTTCCCATGTTTGTGTGTACGCGAATGTCTGTGTACCAGAGAACCACCTCACCCGTCGTCCTTTGGTGCTATCCACCTTGGTTTTCTTGTATGCATGTTTTGAGGGTTTTGTGTTTGTGTGTTTGCCTGCATGTTTGTCTATGCACGACATACATGCAGTATCCACAGAGGCCAGAAAGCAATGGATACCCCATGACTAGAGTTGGAGATGGTTATAAGCTGCTATGTGGGTGTTGGAACTTGAACCCCAGAAGAGGAACCAGTACTCTTAGCTGCTGAGCCATCTCTCCAGCTCTGTCCACCTTATTTCGGAGAGTTTCTCGTTGCTCTGGGACTTGCCTATTTAGCTAGCTGTTTTACTAGTGAGCCCCAGAGATCCTCCTATTTCCACCTCTCCAGTAACACAATTATAACCATGTACTACTGTGCCTGACTCCTCTGTGCCCAGCTTTTCTGTGGGGCACAAAGCAGGGGTTCAAACTCAGGTCCTCATGCTCGCACAGCAAGTACTGTACTGGGTGTGCTGTGGCCAGCCGTCAATTCTTTACTTATCTACCTTGCTCTGTATCGGGAGGGAGTTGCTGTGATTGTCAGAGTGCCCCAGATCCTGGCAATGAAAGTCCTTTAAGCTGTCTCCTAAGTCTTTCTGTCATCACTTTGAGGGGTAGCTAGGGATGGGGTGTGAGCCCTAACAAGAGACTTACACAGATTTGCTATCAGCTCTTTCTTTCCATGAGACCCTGGTTCCTTTTAATGGAAGCACAGTATTTAGAAAATAAGGTCTGGGTAAAAGAAAAATGGCAATTGTTCTTATCATCTCTACTCCTTGATTAGTTTCTCAACACAACCATGACTTCTTCCTCAGTTTCCTGTCCTAAATTACATTAACTCTCCATACTAAAAGACAAAGAAACCTGGGTTTTCCTAGTTTCTTTTGCTGCCTCAGCACTGGTAATTAGATTCCAGAACTCTCTCTTAACACCCTTCAATACTCCAATGTATTGGCTGCTTCCATTCACAGGACTTCTATCATAAACTGTCTGAAAATAAAAAGGTTAGAGAGTAGAGAGAAAATGATTCTAACAAGTTGGTCATTTTTGTTCTCATCCCACAACTGAGTAAACAATATAGAAAAACATGTCAGTGTTCAAGTCTCTATTAAGGTAATACACTATACGATGGTTATTGTTGTCAAGGTGACAATCCAGAATAATGTGGGCAATGGGCCTGAGCATTCCTGTGATGGAGTATCTTTATTGGGCCAATTAAGGCCAGCCTAAAAGCAGGTAGGACCATTCCTTGGGCACAGGATCCTGAACTATGTAAAAGGGAGCAGAACAGCACACATTCACACTTCACTCTCTGCTTCACTTTCGAATGCCTCCTACTGTCTTGACGAACTCTGCCTTAACTGTGAGAAACAAACCCCTCCTCTCTTGAAGCTGCTTTTCTCAGAGTACTTATCACGCAACAGGAAAATGAATTCAGACAAACACCAAGAAAGCAGTACTTTACAGACTATTTAAATGCTGGTTTCCATTTAACAACAGAGAAACAAACTACACTACATCTGGAGAACATGTACATAACAGAAAGTTAAATTCATTTTAATTTAAAAATCTAGAAAATAAATAAATAGATAAATAAATAAATAGGTAGTATTTTGTTTTTCTTAAACTCTTCAAAACCCAGGCAAAATACATGAAATAAGTGTTTTCAGTCTGGATACCAAATAGCAAAGGAAGGTCCAGTCAAAATGGTCTCTGAAAAATGGGAAACAAATGAACTGATAAGTCCTACAAATAACCCCCAAATTACTACTCAAAGACTAGAGCAAGTATACACTTAACATGCAACCTAGCATTTGAGGATGGAAAAAGGTTTGGAGGGCAGAGGGCTGCACAAAAGAAAAACTGCAGAGGATGTACCAGGGCTGTGCCAATTACCCTGATTTGATCTTGGCATACGATCTATCTATGGACATGTACTGAAATGTCACACTACACCCCACAAATGTGCACAATTAAACTGTCCATTATAAACACCTTATTTTAAAAATTCAACAACTACAAACATGCATTTCAAAGTTTACTATAGTTCAAGACTATGATGGAACATTTTACCTTTAAAATCTTACCTACTGGCTAGCAACATGGGTAAACCTGACTCCTGAGTTCAATCCTGACAAGTGGTGAAAGGAAAAGACTTGACTCTTGCAAACTGTCCTGATCTCCACATGCTAGGCTACAGCATACAATCCAAATAAATAAACATAAAAACCTTAAGGCCACCTCTGAATTTCTCATCTATAAAATAGCTAGGTATATCTTCATTTCTTTCTATTGCCTTAAATTAGAGAACTTCGGGGCTAGGAAGACGATGGCTCCGTTGCTGAAGTGCCCACTGTAGTGTGAAGATCTCTAGAAGCCATATAAAAAGCCCCATCACAGCCTCATGCTCCTGTAACCCCAGCACTGGGGGTGAGGCAGAGTCCCTGAAGCTCATTAACTAGGAGACCTAGCCAAACCGAGGAGGTGCTTCAGGTTCAGCAAGAGATGCTGTCTGGAAATTTAAAAAACTTGGGTGGGTGGCGGGGTGGTTTAGGAAAATACATGTGTTATCAACCTTAGGCCGGCCACACACAGACAGACAGACAGACAGACAGACACACACACACACACACACACCGTACACATACTATACACAAACAACAATTGTAGAAGCTGGGATATAAAGACAAGTAAAAAGCATTACTGAGGGAGTACATGGGGAAAAGAGGTAAACAGAAGAACTACAGCTGCTCAGGAATAAGGATATTAAGAGCTATATCCCCTATCATTGTCTTCCAGTTTTTTTTTTTTTTTTTTTCTGCTTCTTGTAGGGTAAGTGAGGGATCTATCTATCAAAGACCATGCATCTTTGAGTATTGTCTTAGTGAGGGTTTCTATTGCTGTGAAGAGACACCATGACCATGGCATCTCTTACAAAGGAAAACATTGAATTGTGGTGGCTTGCTTATACTTCAGAGGTTCAGTCCATTATCATCGTGTCAGGGAAGCAAGGCAGCATACAAGCAGACACAGTGCTAGAGAAGATGCTGAGAATTCTTAACATCTTGACTCACAGGCAAGAGGAAGTGGTCTGAGCACTAGGTGTAGCTTGAGCATATATGAGACCTCAAAGCCGACAGTAACACACTTGCATAGTGACACACTCCTCCAACAAGGCCATACCTATTCCAACAAAGCCACACATCTAATAGTGCCACTTCCTCTGAGAGGCATTTTCTTTCAAAACACCACAGGTATGTTATTAATAGCTTGTCTCCTTGATTATTTATTCAACCAATGTACATCAAGCACCAGCTACATTTCAAGCACACTTATAAACACTGGATAGTGCAGTAAATAAAACAAAGTTTGTAATCATGGAGCTATATCATGGTGAAGTAATTGAAATACTGTCTTAAGAGGCCCTTCTAATCACTCTCCCTTAGTAACATGCCATGTCCAAGAGTAAAATCAATTGCTTCAGTACCACTAAGTTCCCACTCAAATGACCTACTAAACAATAAACAGTGTCTGAGAGCTATCTAGTAAAGGCTACTTAACAGTGGAAAAGCTAGGTGAGTTTGCTGTTCAGGTCCTTTCAAATCAGCATTCTGATTCAACTACAGATTCTAAATGTGGATCATGTACCCACAGGATTTCATACAGCTGGACTGAAGAAAGATCTAAGGATTTTATTATTCATATAGAATAATGTGAAAGCATACAAAAAGAGATACACGTTTAAAATGCACTTACCTTCTAAACTGTTGATATGTTTTGTACCTATGAGTCATTATTTCTTCTAGTAACTTAATGAACCTTCTTAAAGTCCTTACTTTATTATCCAGATCAAGATAGGTTTCTCTCGCTTCCTGGTACTGCCTATTTTGTGAATAAAATGTTCAGTGAATAAATGCAAACATACAAGTCAAGGCTCAAACACATTTTCCTGGAGAGGGAGGGAAAGTAGTGTTGAGAGGGCCTAAGAGCAGCTGACTGCATGAATTTCTATCCAAGTACATCCCCACAAAGAAGGAATGCTTCAGAAGAGAGACAGTGCAACCGTTAAGGGAAGAATAAAACCCAAGCCTTAGAAAATGCAGTGAGATGGAAAAAGAATGTGCCTACGTAGCCAGGTAAGGCTCAGGAGTGACCCATTTCAGAAAACACTAGTAAACTGACACTTTTTCAAACTAAAAAGGTTCACACCAGAAGGTTTTCTTAGTAACAGATGTCAACAAGGGAACAAAGGGCTACAAGCTCAGTACTGGAACACCTCCACCCTAAACAAGAGAGATCTGGGAAGGAAGGAAGGAAGGAGGGAGGGAGGGAGGGAGGGCGGGCTCTCAAAAAAGGCCACGATGGAGGAGAAACCAATAGCCTGATCCTCTCACTAAATCTGAAGCTTACCCTATTTGTCTAGATGGCTGGCCCACTGGAGACCCACCTGGCCCAGGTGCTGGGTTACAGACAGCCACCCCCTACCAGGCTTACAAAAGTACAGGAAATCCAAACTCAAGACACTGTGACTGCACATCCAGAATGTCATGCCGAGTCACTCTCCCTCATCAACTCACTCACACACACACATATACCTAACTGCAGTACAGACCCAAACCCTGAGCCTTGGCTATGACAGGCAAGTATACTACTACTGAGTGGTATCTACAGCCAAATCATGGAGTTTATAAACTTTTTAAAGTGTGATGTACTGCCTCCAGAAACTTCTTAATAGTCTGATCCCTGCTCCCCATTGTTTTGAAAATGAAGCCGAGATCACTTACTTTCTCAATCTTGCTTTTTAAATTAATTACTTATTCTGTGTACATGTACTCCACAGCACATGTGGAGATTAGTGGATAATCTATGTTTTCAGTTCCCTCCTTACATGATATAGGTCCCAGGGATTGAACTCATGCCACCAGGCTTGGCAGCAGGTGCCTTTACTTGTTGAGATATCTTACTGAACCCATTCTCAGCCTTTTGTAACATAAAAAAGGGTTTTGTAGAAAAGCTATAATTTCACTATTCCTTAACCATTCTTCTGAACTTCGTACTATTGTTAACATTACATTAAAAAAAGTACCTATATAAGGGGCTTGGTATAGTATTTTCTCACTTTAGACTATGTTACAATATAATAGTGACTCCTTTAAAATTGCAACAAATATTCCTTAAACCATTTTGATTCATACTGATGAAGGCTTTTCAAGAGTTTTAACAACTATAAGCTAGGTTTCCTCCAGATTCTGTTTACTATAGAGTCTTTCATTTGATGTTCCTAACAAACCCTAAGTTATCCTAATTGTACTCTATGTAAAGGGAGAAATGAAGGCTAAAGAAGATTCCATGATTGGCCGGCCAGTCTTGGTAGTAGACAACAGCCAAACCATAAGGTCCTCTAATTCTCATAGAGCCTTCCTTCTCTTCAGTAATGTAAGACCACCCTTTTCACCAAGACCTCAACGACCTAGACTGTCAGTGACTAACCTCACTGCATCTGTTTTCATGCATACGGAAAAGCTTCTTCTGACTATCCTGACTGTGGTTCTTGACCACTAATGAAGCTCAGTATTCTCCTGTCCATAAGATCCTAGTAACACAGACTGCATTTATGTTAAAATGTCCTTCCATAATTTAGTAATGAGGAATTGTTAATAATGCCCATCTAACAGACTACTTAGCACAATTACATACTGATAGTAAACCCCCTTCATCCAAATTCAATTTACATATAACATGATTCTGTCTTAGTAACAGCTATGGATAATACACTAAAGTAGAAAATTAATGACCACTTACTTCATTATTTCTTCCCGATCTCCATGACTAGCATGTTCTGCCTGAATTTTTTGTCTTAATCGATTAATTTCTTTGTCTAGAATTGATGCAGATTTTTTTACTTCTATCCGTTCTGGGCAGATCTGTCTTGCTTGTGACATTTTCTCCTAAGAAAGATATTTAGATCTTAAAAATCTTTGTTATAATTCATTATACTAATTCTGCCAAAATATGCAAAATAAAAATGAACTTAAATTTACGACGTGTTTACTATCAGTGTTTTTTTTAAGATTTATTATATTTAATTATGTATGTATCTATATACACGTAACTATAGATGTCTGGAGGCCACAGATGTTTGATCCCCTGGGGCTGGAGTTACAAGCAGCTGTGAACACTGACACTCAGGTCCTGCAGAAGAATCGTATGTATGTTCTTAGCTGCTCAACCAGCTCTCCAACCCACACTAATCACGTTTTTATCCATGTTTTACGTTGAAGAAATAAACTTAAGTGTCCTTAGAAATGTACTTTTTAGGATGTACTCTGAAGAACAGAGGGATGGAAAACACAGAGACCACCTTATTTATATGCAATGAAAAAATGCTAAGTATTTTCTCATGTAATATCTATTTTATACCATAATGTGCTGTACTATGCTTGGAACATATATGGAAACAGATTAAGAGTTCCACTCACTCACTTTCCTTATGACATAAAGAAAAGATGGAGTCCACCTCTTCTGGCTACAAGACTGTCTTCAATTTACTCCCTCCAACAGTGGCTGCTCAGCTGTGAACAGGCACAGCCAGCACACCCACCCACAGTGACGCAGAGGCACAGTCCTGACATTAAGTGGCAGCATGCCCTCAACTGAGAGCCACTTTCTCAACTGCTGAGACACAACGGCAGACAACCCGGTCTAGTTAAGTCCTCACATTCTGAGGGACACTAAGTCTCCCCTGCCAATTCACAGAAGCACCTGTTTCTCTGTAGGAAACAAAAACTCAAGACGATTTCTTTTTTCTAGAAACGTGACACTGAAGAAAAGGGCTCTTAGGAAGGGGGAAAGACAACCCAGCAAAGTGGGAGGAAGGACGGAAGCAGAGTACGGTGAGTAAAGGAGAGCAGGGGTGAGGGAGAAGAGGGGAACGAGAACCAAGCAGAAGGAACCATGATGGGAACTTCACAGTTCATCCAGACACTCCTTAAAATATAGACAGATGGGAAAGACCTACATGGAACCACTAAGTAACGGGGAGACAAGCCCCAGCCAGACACTGCCTGCCCCCAAATGAAGCCTCCAATTCTAGCAATGGGTTACATCTAACCAAACTGCTAGCCAAAGGGGCCCCTTGGAAACCTCCAAACCCAGGCTACTGCCAAGGCTACTGGCTGCGCTCCACAAAGTGATGCTAAGGACCTACTGCTGAAGACAGTACCTTAAAAAAAAATCACCGAACCTAGAAAGTCTGACCCAGAGTCTTCATCTTCACCACAACTATCTAGTGTTCATGGTACTGGAAGACACTCTGCACACTATCAAAGGAGAAAGGTAAGCACCGACGTAAACACTACAGACCCTTCAATTTACAATAGTGACCTTCATGAAAGATACACCAGTAAAATGGCGGCACAAAAGTGGAACTTAACTAATCAGTATCTGAATGGAATTTAGGCCCACTCCATGAGAAGGAACCCACACTCTGCACTGCCAGCGGCCAAGCACCTCAGACTAGATAGGACACGGTCCTAGGGAGGAAATCAAATACTACTGTTATGCTAAAGGAATACAGCAATAAAATGACTCCTAACAACATTCTGCTCTATTCATAGATCAGTGCCTTGCTCAGCCATCATCAGAGAAGCTTCCTCCTACAGCAGCA